TAAGAAAAATCATTTTTTTAGTTAATTTAGGTGTTAATTAGAAGACATTGAAGTTTGGTGATTAAAATTAGGCTTTGAAAGGTTTAATTGGTTAAATCAGAGGCTTAATTAAGGAAAAAAAATAGAGTTTAGAGGTCATTTAAGGATTTAATTATAGATTCCCAAGACCAAGGACTAACTAATAAGTGGTATGTAATTTTAGGGGTAGAAACTAGTCTAATTAGGAGTCAAATTGAAAGGAATTGAAATTTTAGTGGACAGTTAAGGATAAAATTGAACAAATTAAAAACCAATGACTCATCTATAAAAGGTGTTGAACTCTAAGGCTAATATTTGAATCTAGCAAGGGTGTAATTATATGCAATTAAAAGGAATTGGAGGAGTAGGGACCAAATTGAAATTAGACAAATCCTAAATTTAAAAAAAAAACCCTAATTCTTAGGATTTACCTAGACGACTTGTTGTTCACCCATTGTTTATGTCCTTCATTGGAAATTTTGGATGATCGTGTAAGCATGTTCAACATAGCATATCTATAAAATTAGGCGTTTACACCCTAATTCTTCTACAAAAGTCTCCAACATCTTGTCCCCGATCCACTTTCTTGTGTTTTCAGATTTTGGGATGATTGAGTTAGCATATTTGAACGAATAAATATGAGTTACAAACCTCAAAATCAAGCAAGGTTAGATCCAAATAAAAGATATGCATCTTTTCTATCAACTTCAGGTGGTTTCTGATGATGTTTACATTAGAGTTGCTCTAAAAAAGCCTCGAAAATGGTCAACCAAACGAACCTTGATTGTGACACCTATTTTTTTTTAAAACCTATTTTTTTATGTGTTCATACTTAAAGCTTCTCAAAAGGTTTTTATCAATGACTTTAAAAGTTTCTTCTCAAAATCAAAAGGCCACAAATAACTATTTGCCTTTTAAATCTAGCAAAACCATCAAGTACTCTTAAAACCATCAAGTACCCCTAAAACTAAAATCACCATTGCAAAACCACCTAGTACAAGAGCTTCCAAATATTAGCTTTTGTCCATAACCCTCTCATTTTGATAAAAGAGATAGGCTTTGATCAATGTTTGAGGGAATCCACTAATAAAACCTAGAAAAACCCTAAAAATACATTTGAAAATCAGAGGAGAAAGAAAAGAGAGGAAAAACATAAGAAAATACTATATTAATAGACCTATCATAGAAAGGTCTAAAAAGCTTTGGAAAGAAAGAGAGTGAAAGGAAAAATAAGAAAGAAAAGAGTAGAAAAATAGTAGCCTATAGTCAGCAAGTTTGAAAAAGGTATAACCTTGTAAAAACTCAAAGATGGAGTCTGTGTGGCTTGCCTATTCATGCTTTTTTTAATATTTAAACTTTTTTTTATGTTTTTTTGAACTTATTTTAGTGTTATGATATTTTCTAGTTTTGTTTTGATTAATATATAAAACTATTATTTATATTGTTTAATTTTTTTTTTAAAGTTGTTGTTGATGTTGCTAAGTGTCAAGACAATATGTTTGTGACTAATATTGATAAAATAAGGTAGGTTTGGATTCTACCAAAGGGTGGTAGTGGTTGTTTAATGTTTTTTTTTTTATTTATTTTGTTAGTGTATGTTTTTGGTTTTTAAGCATGACTTGGGTTTCAAATGTTCGAAGAGTAGTTTTGAATTAAAATTTGATGTTTTTGTTGGCTTCATTGAGCTATAATTTTAGAGTTAGAATTTAATGTATATTTATGATGATTTGATGTTTTTTATTCTTTCTTTGGATTCAACTATGATTGTTATTGGTAATTTAGGTTGTGATGAACAAAAACGGTATGTTTAGAGGACTAAAATGCCAAATCTAGGTTTTGGAATTAGTTCTTTAATTTCTAATTTTTTTTCAAATTCTAGGTTAATATTCTTCACATGAACTTTGCATTAGCCTCTTGTTTTTAAATTTTTTAGGTTAATTGTTACCATAGATATATTAGCTCGTCATCTTTACCAATTAATGTAGGGTTACAATGCATCAGTAATACATATTCATACATTTAGATTCTAAGATTTTTTTGATTGTCTAAATATATTTTGATCAAATTATGAATTTTGAATAAAAAAATAAATGCTTAATTCTTGATTTATGTATGATCTTGAAAAAAATTATGCCTTTGATTGCATAAAAAATTATGTTGTTAGTGATTTGTGTTTGTTGGGTTTCAGCTTGAATGTTTATCATGTTTTTGGTGTTTGATCTAGTTTTGTTAGATATTTTTATGTTTTTTTGAGTTTTTATTTGTTTTTGGTTTAATTGTATATTTCGCTTTAATTTCAGGTCAAACCATTGTTTTCGGTTTGATTCAAGATTGAACAAGTGTTTCAAGTCAACCTAATTGGTTTTTTGGATCATGTAAACTCTGAGTTGAAATTTATTTAATGAACAAAACTCTTTAAAACTTATAAACCAGACTAGAATAAATAAAATTTGTTTATAAGAGTCTATTTACCCTTTCAAAGGGGTGGAAATGAGAAACTAACTTGTATTTTTGAAAAGTTAGAATGGTAGGGGAGATGTTAATATATAAAAGAAAAGTGGAGATACTTGGAATTTTTGTAACATTAACCAAACATGACCTAACATCACTTAAGAGGGAGTATAAATACCTTGAAAGTAAACTTATATCTTTTTTTCTCCCTCTTATTTAGTTATCACAACAAAAGAAAGAAAAAGAATTGGCCTCCCTCTCTTGTATACATTCTACACCAAAAAACCTCTTGTATGTTACATGCACTAAAAACTTATATAAGTGAAGAGTGATTAGATAGTATAAAACCATAAAATTATGGTGTTGGAGGGCATGAAGGCCAGCTAAAATAGATGTAAAAAGGGGAAGAAAGAAAAAAAATCATCATCAGGAAAACACTCTCAATCCTTTGATAAATTTGTAAGGTAAGTGATTGTGCATCAAAAGTGTCATTAAGTCTCTTATTTTATATATGTATTTATTGTTTTTATTTGATTGTTTTTATAATAATTAATGTGTTTTTTAGTAATGAAGTTTCTTTTAATGTTTCGATAGGTTTTTGGAGCTTAAATGAATTAATTCAGAAAAATTCAACATCAAAATTCAAAACAAAGAATTGAAGAGATATTTAGTTGAAGATTGAAGTAAATCTTGGTTCAAATAAGATTGAAGT